CTGTTAAATAAATAAAATCTTTAAAAAAAAAAAATAATAATAATAATAATCCAAACCTGGAGGGGAAAATATTAGTGCCTAAACTGATCGGTTAAAATAATGCATAAAATAATCCAAACCTGGAGGGGAAAATATTAGTGCCTAAACTGGTTGGTTAAATTGTGGACACATTCTGGGGCATCTGGGTGGCTCAGTCTGTTAAGCGTCTGACTCTTGACTTCTGCTCAGGTCATGATCTCAGGGTTGTGAGATCGAGCCCCTTGTCAGGCTCCACACTGGGCATGGAGCCTGCTTAGGATCCTTTCTCTCTCTCCCCGGGGCGCCTGGGCAGCTCAGCCAGTTAAACATCTGCCTTCAGCTCAGGTCATGATCCCAGGGTCCTGGAATTGAGCACATCACTGGGCTCCCTGCTCAGCGGGGAGTCTGTTTCTCCCTCTGCCATTCCTCTCCACTCGTGCTCTCGTGTGCACGCTCTCTCTCTCTTAAATAAAATCTTTAAAAAAATTCTCTCTCCCTGTTCTCCCCCACCCCTCCTCCCTGCTCGCACGTGGTATCTCTCCAAAAAAAAAAAAAAAATTTTGTGGATACATTCTTAGAATATTGTGGGGATTTTAAAACTGGTAACAGAACTGGTAACTCACTGACAAGGAAGGAAATGTGCTGCATGTATCCCTGAGTGGAGGAAAAGGCAGGTTACAAAACACACATGATATCCCCATTACAGTGTGTACATACACACACGGAAAATGGAGGGACGATGCCGAAATGTTTTGCGATTTTGTGATTACATCGAGATGACAGGATTAGGACTTTTGGCTCTTATTTTTCTACAGTGTATCATTTTAAATATTTTGATTTTTTAAGTAACCTCCACATCCAATGTGGGACTCGAACTCACAACCCCAAGATCAAGAATCTCATGATCTACAGATTGAGCCAGCCAGGTGCCCCTATTTTTAAACCTTAAGTCACTGCCTAAATACACAGGCAAGACAAACTAGAAGGAGAAAGTACAACACTCAGATCCCTGTAACGAGATGCTTAGTTTCTCATTTCCAAGGATTTGCTGACAGAAGCTGAGTAATTCAAGAAACGAAAGGTGTGGTCAGAAGAGAGGCACTCTCAATGTTCTGCAAACTTACTGTACTCAGGGACTCCTGATTTTCCTGTATTTCCTCAGAGCCCTGTATTCTAACTACTTCTAAAGGCTGTTGTGTGTTTGGTTGTTTTTTTAAGATTTTATTTATTTATTTGAGAGAAAGAGAGTGAGCGAGAGAAAAAGAGCAGGAAGTGGGGCGGTGGGGAGGCTGAGGCAGAG